TTCTCTAACAGTTAAGCTTTTAGATGAAACTGTCCAACATGACCTCATAAAATGTTGCCAGGTCAAGGTCGACTATGCTCAGAGGGGATGCGCATAATTCCTGCATTGTTGTTCAGATATGGTGTAATCCATTGCATTTGACATGTATGACTCTGGTGATATTGCAGGCGATAAAGGTGGCATTGGATCGGAGTTCTTTGGTTATTTCTAGGCGGATCTCTTTTTGAATATCAGCAATCACCACTTTGGCACCATTTTTGATGATTTGCTTGCTGTTTCTCTCCCGAATCCACTGGCTGCACCAGTGATCAAATAAAGGATCGAGCTCAAAGCACTTGTAAATTGTAAGTGGTATTAGGAGCACACTCCCTTTTTATACCTTCGTAACAAGCATGAACACATGTAGAGGGTTACTTCCAATGGAATGACTGTTTTTGTAGAGTCACCTAACTGGAAAATTGGGTCGAGAAAGTAGTGGATTTTAATTAACAACCTCTTCTGAATTTGACGTCGCTTTTAAAAATTGTTTATGAGCTTATAAACATACTGAGACGCTTTTCTTACAAGCCCATTTTAAGATGAGCTCTATTCAATGCGAACAACGAGCAATACTTAGCCTCCTTTGTATACAAGTTAATTTAAAAAATGATTTATAAATTCATTCGAAATCAAATATTAATTTCAAGCGCATATTTACAAAAACTAATTATTATCCATACATTTCGTGTTGTTCATCTTACTATTTCTATTCATAAATCATTTGTAAATTTGCCATACAGAGGCTTAGTACTCGTTAAGTACAATTAAATGTAGTCAATGTGGCTCTTGTTTTCATTTTTAAGGCATCTTCTTTACATTTATACTTAGAGGGTGTTTGGCACCCATTTTTTTTCAAATTTTTCACTTTCTTAATTATAACCACACGTTCTCCAAATAAAATAATATTATACACAAATCTAGAACTTTTCATTATTTTTCAATCATACATTCTTCCATCAATCACTGTTCCAAAATTTATAATTTACCCAAAATGGGTGCCAAACACGTACTTAGTATTCAAGAATCATTTATTTTGGGATTAAACATTAAAGAGTGTGTTGAAGCAATAGCATTCCACAATATGCACTTTTTAATTATGCATACCGATAGTTGAAATCATAATTTAATCTAATCCTTAAAAAAAATGTTAATGAAGTAATTAAATTTGATCACGTTTTCGTAATTATCAAGTTCCCCTTTGAAAGCAACTGGAAACTTGAAACATATCATGTATGAGAAGCAATATCCATTTGCAAGATTGACGAGAGTAGACTAAACAATATTCGACAAGATTAAGATAGTAAAAGAAAAGGCATGCCATAAGAAACATTTACTGTCAATCTCCAGTAATAATGTGTAGAACTATATCATGTCAAGGAAAAAGAAAAAGAAAGAAAAAGGAAAAATGATAAACGATAAACGGCTAAAGTTTTATGTACTAACGAATATGTTGCTCCCAGAGTTCAAAATTGCCTACTGAAAAATAGCAGAATAGAATGTTGCCAATGCTAGAAGGAATAACAAACCCTCAAATTAACCAGCTCTGAGTTCTAGGAATTTGAAAGAATCTTGGTTGAATCCATATTCCTTTCATTTGGCATTCTGCTGACCCGTTTGATGCCTTGATGCATTCGTTGCTAATAAGAATGTTTATCCTATGTGTCGGTATGATTGCCCCACAGATTGAAATTGAAATATCATCCTTGAGTCCTATCCAATCTTGTAAACCCGAACGTCTGAAATAACTGCGATCACAACAAATTGGCAGGTATCCATTGCCAACGCTCTTGTTATCAGGTGGATTAGCAAAAAGTTGATATATATTGTAGTTTTTCTCCTTACTCTCCTCCGTAGAGAAGGACAAAAGTTTCCTCGCATTATCCAAATAAAAAAAGGCTCCCTTTATATCATTGAAAATGCCTCCAATAATCGTGCCAAAGCTCCATTTGTTGCGTTCGAATGTGTGCGTAGTCCACACAGTTTCTCCCCTCTTAAGCGCATTTATTTCCAATGTGCTTTCATCACTTCGATTGATGATTGACACGATGCATTCCAATGAAGTGGGAGGACATGAGAATGCTGCGATATGGTCGGAGATTTCTTGGTGAGGAAACTGTGGGAGATCGATTCTGGCTCGTGAGAAGGGGCAGAAGAAGAAAATGGAGCCTTCTTGGAAGAGGAGTAGCCATCCCTGATTTGATGCAAGACAAGTTGAATGCTTTAGCTCCGGGAAATTGATACTATAGATCTTCTTGTCGTTTGGATTGTACAAGGTACAATTTTGAGTCTCTCCACACAGTATGAACCAAGGCATAGAGTTTGGATCGGACTCAACCTCGGCAGAAGATGTGCAAGAAGCCGAGCGCCAATCCTTACAAACACCACGGAAACTAAGAAGATCAATTATGCCCAAAGAACTGGTAATTAGTGATAGAAGCTCAGGAGGTAGATGTTGCCATGGAACAATCTGGACTTCACTCAAAGACGACCTAAAAAACATTGACACACATTATATAAATGATCAAAGATTCTTGTTCCTCGAATAAATAAGACAAATAAATACAAAATCACATAAACAAGTAATATTATCAAAGATTCTTGTTCCTCGAATCCCCAAAAGAAAATGAGTGTAACGTGATGATGAAATCAAGTGCTATACTGAATTTGACAAAGAATAATGATCAAGGAAAATGTCAATTCTCGTTGCACTTGCATATATTCGCAACTCAGATTTATAACTTCGAATTTCACCCTTGGATTGCATCCTATTCACATAATGATTGTGCTCACATACACGCGCACATTTAAATGAAAAAAATGGCATATAATCCCTCTATCACTATGTTAACAAAATAGGTTAATTCGTAAGAAACAATATGCCGTCTAGGATCAATGTCTGAGCCCCACATGTAAACTGCACGGCTTCGATGTTAAATGCCTTTTAACACTATTCAGCAATGGATTCTCCATGACATCCATCTAAATATTTTTCACAAACCAATTTAATTCTGTGGAAAAGAATATAGGGCGTAATTAACATGTTTTCAGGATAATTAGAGAAAATTATCGTCAAGACATTCCATATATCCCAAAACTTTTAACTCAGAGTGATCCATAATGTTGTACAAATCTACATTACAGTGTATGAGCACTTCTTGATTACCCATCAATAGTACTAATTAAAAAACAAGAAAACTATCCATTTATTTCGGGAATAACTACGGATAGACAGTTTTTCACATTCAGCAAACAAAATCATCAAATCAGAACCAAAAAAGAAAGAAAAAAGAAATGAAATGAAAAGAAAAACACCGCATGGGCCAAAAGAACTGGAAAAATCAAAACTACAGCTAAATATCATAAATTCCCCAAAAACATGTCATAATTTCAATTGGTGCATAAGATAAACTGCATACTCAACACA